TCCTCAGGAGTTTTATCTTGTGAGCTGCTTACAGGCACATGCTGCTGCCATCCCCCAGGGTGGTGGCCCTTCTGCTAGGACTGGTGGACTGCCTGGAGGCAGCAGATCACCAAGAGACAGTGTACGTATGACCTCCCGATTGGTAGCATGAAGCTCTCAAGGAGCATAAGGCCACCATGGACCTTCATGAAAGGGGTCATCATATGCATCTTTTTTTTTTTTTGGAGAGGTTTTTGCTACAGGGCGTGTGCGCTCATTGGAAAGAGAGAGACAGAGAGATAGAAAGTGAGAAATCACCCCCCAGGGGGGATGGCCACGCCGCAATCCCTTCACCTCCATTTTCTTTGGATCTTGGGCACGCACACACACACGCCCAGCATGAGTTTATGCCACCGAATCCAGGACTCGAACTGCAGTTGATTACATGGGAGTCCAGTGACATAGCCATTACGCTAACTGCTGCTCCCGCCATCATATGCATCTCTAAGCTCAAGCGATGCTGCTTGATTATAGTCAGGCTTAGCGCAGGTGCCAATAGATGTAATGACGACACGGTGGAGATACTTGAGAGAGACCCAAAGGGACAGTCTGCAGGGATGGAGTGGCATCTAGGACAGGAAGTCTTGTGCCTCAATGCCATTCCCATCACTTCTATAATAGACCATGTTTCTGTCCACTCTACTCCCAATGTATATGCTGAACTCCTACCCAATGTGATGGTATGTGGCAGTGGGGTCTTTGGGTGGTAACAAGGTCATGAGGGTAGAGCCCTCTGAATGCAATTAGTGCCTTTAGAAGAGGAAGTCAGGGAGTTCATCTGCCCTCTTTCTACTGTAGGGACACCACACTAAGGAAGCATCTGGAAGCAAGCCCTCCCGAGAACTTGACCTAGGCCGGGACCTTGGTCTAGGATCTCCAGTCTCCAGGATGCTGGTGGAGCAGCCCAGGTCGACTCTGACCACACTCAAGAGCATAACAGGCATGAGTTCAATGGTGTCTCAATGACCACAGGCTTAGGGCTATTCGAATGCTTCGAATGACATTTCATCCTGTTCCATCAACCAGAGGACTAAAGGGTTTGCTGTCACAGTACAAATTCCCTAACTGAAAAGGCTGTGATTAAAACCAAGGTCATGAGGGGCCACTAGGTGGTGTAGTGGTTATGTCACTGGATTCCTACATGGCAGACTGCATGTCGAGTCCCGGATCCAATAGCTTGAAAATCATACCAGTATGTGTGTGTGAATGCTCAAGATCCCATGAGGAGAATGGGGGAGAAGGAATTGTGGCATGGCATCTCCCCAGGGGGGTGATTTCTAATTTTCTGCTTCACTGTCTCTGTCTCTCCCTCTCTCTCTGGTGAGTGCATGAACCCTATGGGAAAAACCTCTAAAGACAAACACACACATACCCAGGTCATGGAAAGGGTCCATCAGTACAGATCATACAGAACTGTGATTATGTTCAGCCAATAACACAGATCCCATCAGCTAGGGAATTGCAGCATTCTAAGGAATGCTCACCATTCGCCAGCAGGGATGGCTTGGCTAGCACTGCCCTAAAGGGTACAAAAGCTCTGACTTGAGCAGTTGTTACCAAGAAATGGAAGCCATTGGGCTGCAATGCACTCCAGCATGTAGGATGGCTGTGCAAGAGGAAGGAAACCACGCCAGCACTTGGTTCACTCTTGCTTGCCAAGAACTATTGGTGATGCCTCACTTCAGAAATATTGATAACAGCTTAGTGCACACAGGATGAGGGCAGGGCCTTGAATGTTCTTTGCTACAACTCAGCAGCCCGGAGGGTCCAGATCGACTGCTCATGGCAGCCTCCTTCCCTGGGAGGCAGCGTTGCCAAGGCTCTCAGGCACTAGGCGCTTATCACCTGTACTTCTCTGTCTTTGACAACAAAGCCAGATGGTGCCAAAGAAGTATGAATATCACCAAGCTTTTCCCTAGAGGGGGGAAAAAATCCTAGCTTGGGACTGGTTTGAACTATGCAGAGGGAAAAAAAAAAATCCACTAAGGTCAAAATAGCTTGCTAAAGGAGTCATTCGAGAAGTTCTCATCGTGCCTGTCATTTTGCTTCACTTCTTTTTATTCTTTCGCTGACTCCCCTAAGCACTGATACCTAAGCACGACGCTAGACATTGAGGCAGCAGAGAAGAGACAGATGTGCTACCCGCGTGAGCCAGGGAGCCCAGGTTGAAGCAGGTGTCAGGGGCAACCCTGATTGGGGATGACAGTATCTCTCCCCCATGACCTAAGAGACTTACAGCGTCAAGTGTTTTTTGTTTGGTTGGTTTTATAGGCTTTTCCCATAGGTGGGTGCACTCACTGGAGAGGAAAGAGACAGATAGAGACAAAGAGAGGGCAAGTGAGAAATCACCCCCAGGGAGGATGGCCATGCCACAATCCCTTCTCCTCCATTCTTCCCTTGAGATTTTTTTGGGTGGGGAGCCATGCACAGATATGTGGCCCATATGATTTTCAAGTTACCAGTTCTGGAACTCAAACCATGGTCAGCTACGTGGGAATTCCGCCATCTAAACCACCATGCCACCTACTGGCCCCTCAGTTTCAAGTGTTTTTATGATTCCTATGAAACTGAGCCTTAGAGATGGCTGCAACTTAGGTATGAGGGCTTAAGCAACAGGGGCTACACAGCTCTAGGAAGGGAATTTCCTCTTCCTAATATTTACAATCAGAAGGTCCCACAGTGGCCCTTGGTGAATGGATTCCTTGTTTAGCCCCACACAGAAGTTGGTCACTGGAGGCCACAGAAGCAAGCATAAAAATCAATGAGAACCATGGTAATCCTGACCCATATCAGCCTGCTCCAGACTCCATGGGCTGCTGTCTCTCAAAGTTCTTGGCGAGTTCACCTGCTAGAAACAGGTAACCGTGGCTGAGGAAGATGGACTCCTTGGGTGGTATGGTCTGAATGTTTGTGCCATGCCCCTCAATTTACCCCTTGGAGGTGGGCCCTTTGGGGGGTTTGAATGTGTTTCTCCAAAATCCACATGCTCAGCCACTATTCCAGAATGAAGAGGTGAAAACTTAATCTGATTATGGTGTCAAAAGGTGGGACTTTTCCTTTGAGAGGAGATCAGCGATTGGGTGGTTAGGGAGGCGACTCTGTGGCATGTGTACAAAGAGACACAATGAAGTAGGCGGAGGCCACACAGACACAGATCACACTCCATTCTAAGATCCTACCCTCTGCCATGTTGTAATCTCAACAGAAGTTGGACCCTGGACCTCTCAACTATAGCTGAATGAACATATTTCTTTATAAAACCAGCCAGTCTCGGTATTTCTGCTAACAAGGCAATTAACAGATAAGATAGGAATAATTAGGTCATGATGAAAGAGCCCTCATGGTGGAATTAGTGCCCTTAGGACAGGGGCCCCAGAGATATCCTTGCCCTTTGCATCAAGTGAGGACACAGGGAGAAGGCGCTATCTATGAAAAATGAGCCCCCAACAGACACTGAGACTACTGGTGCCTTGATTGTGGACTTCCTGGCATCCAGAACTGTCAGAAATAAGCTGCTGTTGTTCAGAAACCACCTGGCTTCTTGTATGTTTGTTAGAACAGCCTGAGCTAAGACACTGAGTCTCTCTCTCTCTCTCAACATACTCATATCAATGTGAGCCATCAGGAACTAGGGCACCTGAAGCATCCCTGAGGTGCCACTGCCTGAGTTTCTCCCTTTTAAAATGCACCCCCTCTGAAAACACACTCCCACCTCCACACGCACACTGCAACTGCTGTAGTGCATGAGGTGGACACTTGTTTTCACAGACAGGGAGGAGCACAGAGTCACATGTGCTGCCCCAGGCGAAGGAGCACTGCTGGGGAAGGGCACAGGTTGCATTTGGCCTTCGGCTAATGCAGCTGTGATGCAGGGAAAGCTGAATTTCCTCCTTCCTTTTTTCCTCCCTCCCTTCTTTCCTTCCTCCATTGTCTGTCTTTTTAAATGACATGTGTCCCTGTACTAATGAGTCACAGACATCAGACATTAGGATGGGCTTGAGAAAGACATCCCAGTAGGTGCGGTGCTCCAAAAAACCCATGTGCCTCTATGTCCCCAGGTACCACCTGCAAAGGCATTTTCTTAGTTTTCTTCCTTTTTTTGGAGAGGTTTTTGCTATAGGGCACGTGCGCTCGCCAGAAAGACAGAAAGTAATAAATCACCTCCCCAGAGGGGATGGCCATGCCACAATCCCTTCTCCTCCATTCTCCCATTGGGATCTTGGGCACGCACATGTGCCCACTGCGTGAGTTTAAGCCACTAGGTCTGGGACTCGAACCATGGTCAACTACATGGCAGTCCAGCAACGTAACCACTATGCCATCTGCTGGTCCCATTAGTTCTACTAAGTCTTTGGCAATGAAACAGACAACAGCTTGGCCGTGCATCCTCCTATTTCACCTTACTGCTACACCTTCTCTTATTATTATTTTTTTTGGGCCATCATAGGCAAAGCAATTTTTTCTTTCTCTTTTTTTAAGGTTTTGCTACCAGATGCATGTGCTCACCAGAAAGAGACACAGAAAGACAGAGAGAGGGAAAGTGAGAAATCATCCCCATGGGGGATGGCCACACTGCAATCCCTTCTCCTCTTGGCATCATAGGCATGCACACCCCCATGACCAGCACGATTTTCAAGCCTCCAGGTCTGGGACTCGAACTGCAGTCTAGCCAAAGCAAATGAAAAAGTTCAGAGATAATGTCATGGCTACTGTTCCTTCAGCCACTTCAACTCCAGTAGCCTGCAATGGGCCTGCCAGTTGTCATGATGCTGCTGAGGGCAGGGGTGGTGTGTCAGGTGGCGCTGTGTGTCGGGTGCCACAGGCTGCTAGAGGCAACGCCACTGGGTCCCTTTCAGAAAAAGCCACACCCCCAGGCCACCTGAGGCCTCAGCTCCACCCCAACCCCCTGGAGGAGATGGAGCCTCCCTCAGCCCCCAAGAGAATAAGGAAAAGCACGTCACCTGGCACTTGCCGTGCACACAGAGGTCCATCTCATAGGGCCCGCAGGGAGTGCCATCCAGGACCCTGTCGGCCACCAGCAGTGGGGACTCCTTCCCGAGGGGCGAGCAGTAGAGCTCACACGGCTTATCTGAGGAGGGAAAAGTTGGTGGATGTTGACAAAGGAAAGGGCGTGTGGGCCATGCAAGGCTCACCCCTCAGGAGTGTTGGAGAGGCCAAGGGAAGAGAGGATGGCAGAGGCAAAGGGAGGTCACAGCAACTTAGCGCGTTCCTATGGATACTGGCACCTGCTCCTCCGAACCACCAACACAGCAGACCCTGGTGCATGACAGGAGGGGCGGGAGCTCTGTGGGGTTCTATCCCTTGCAAAAACACTGCATTTCCTCCTCCTCCTCAAACGAACCAGGCAGAACAGAGATGTGGTGGGTGCTAACCTCTACATAAGCTGAATGAGTGTCTAGGGGAGCCTGGTAGTCATCCTAGAATGGGGATGGAAAAATACGAAGAGATGGACGAGGACACTTAGAAGAGAGGACCTACGAGTGACCATGACCATGGCTTTGTTAAAAGCTTCAAAAAAAAATTTTTTTTTTAGGGTATTTTTCCTATGCATGAGCTCGCAGGAGAGAGAGACAGAGAGTGAGAGAGAAAGTGAGAAATCACCCCCTAGGGGGGAATGGCCATGCCGTAATCCCTTCTCCTCCATTCTCCTTCTGGGATTTTGGGCACGCATGCATACACATCCAGCATGATTTTCAAGCCACCAGGCTGGGGACTCAAACTACATTTGGCCATGTGGGAGTCCAGTGCCTTACCCACCACCCCACCTGCTGGGTAACAGTCACAGAGCTGTGTTATGGGGCACCTAAGTCCTGGGAGAAAGGGAGAAGACCTAAGGTAGAGAAAAGGACTTAAGGGGCTGGTAGAACCAACCATGAAAGCCGAGGCCCTAGGCACGATGGAGACCCCAATTTCTATTTCCCTGATACCATGTAAGCTCCCAGAACATGCCACGTGCTCAAGCCTTCGCCTGGGCTGTTCCCTCCATCTGGAAACCCTTCTCTGTGCTTGGCCTTCTAGAAGGTTCTAGAAGCATCCATGTCATGGCTCTCCCACTGTCCCGGGTGGGGGGAGGGGAAGGATAGGCATCTCCATGTGCAGCTTGTACACACATCCACAGAGACCTCAGTCATCACCTCCTGTCCTATAACAGAGTAACTCCCTCATGCACAGGGGTCTCTTCTCAGGTAAGTCCCATTATGGAAGGAATGAGAAAGGCATGGATTTCGACTATCTTCAGAATGAAGTACCAATGGGATTGGGAGCCCTTTGAGGGCAGGGGAATCAGACGCATCGTTAGTCCTCAGACTGGGCCCAGGAACTGGCTCATGACAGGACCCGATATAATATTTTTGAACAAATAAATAGGTTTTGCTCTTCTGTAAGTGATTCTGTAAGTGACACACTCTCTCTCTCTCTCTGTCACCTAACTCTAACACCATTGATGTGATCACTATGTGAAGGAACCTTCTAGAGAGTCAAAGGGTCTTTTATCTCCCCCACGAGCTTTCCCCAGAGGGTTCCTGTGGAGGTCCCCGGTGAGCAGAGGGAGGGGCAGAGAAAGGCTCTGAAGCTAACGTTGCCTCCAAAGTCCTCGGCATCTCAGCTAGAGAATTCTCATCAGTGCAGATGCGTGGTCTCACCCAGCCTCTGGGGCTTTCACGATTGGATGACTAAGTCACCACTGGCTTCCGGAGATTTCCATAGCTGTCATGCTCTGCTGGTCAACCCGCCCAGTGGGAAATCTTGTCTTACGGCATGAAAAAGAAGGCCGAAGGTTGCGGTGGAGATGCTCAACTTGGTTCTTCCAGGTAGGAGTGTGAGAAGGAAACCGGGAGGTCTTCGGTCTCCCAGGTAAGCCCAAGTCATGATGGTTCAACATGCATTCATTGGGCAAGCATGGACTGAACCCCTCCCTCACACAAGGCTCTTTGCAGGCACTGCTGAGGGAAGATGAGTAACGAACAACTTTTCAAGGACCCAATGGTCTTGTGGAAAGTACAGTGCCAACCCTGGATGAGGCAAGATGTGACCAGTCCCACGAGATGGGTCTGAGGCAAACAGTCAGAGGGCAGGGTCTAGCTGGAGGCAATGACTCAGCGCCTGTGCTGGCAGGCTGGGGGGGCTAGCCCTGTTTAGAGGGCATGACCCAAGTTGGTGACTGGTGGAAAGAGAACTATGGAAGATGGAGACACATACAGATCAGTTCTGCAAGGCTCATGTGACAAGATCGCTGAGGTACTCTTTGGGACCCTGAGGTCTCATAGGGAACCTCAGAAAGCCAATCCGATGCAGCAGCCCCTCAGTTTAAAGGAGCAGTGAGTTTACCGCACACACGGGCTGCTTCCAAAGCTTCACTGTAAGGAATGCTCTCTTGGCCATAACGGATTGAAATTGCAGATTTTATCTTTGGAAAGAAGTACTGCCTTGAGGCCAGCAGGTGGCATAGGGGCTAAGGTGCTGGACTCCCACATGCCCAACTGGGGTTTGAGTCCTGAACTTGGTGGCTTGCAACTCATGCTGGGCACGTGTGTGTACATGCCCAAAATCCCAAAGGGAGAATGGAGATGAAGGGATAGTCGCATGGCCATCCCCCTAGGGGATGATTATTCATTTTCTCTCTGTGTGTCTGGTGAGCACATGAGCCCTATAGCAAAACAAAACAAAACAAAAAATACCACACACACAAACAAACAAACAAAACACAACAAACAAACAAATAAAAAAAACCCTCTTGGGGATCAGCAGTTAGCATAATGGCTATGTTGCTGGACTCCCATGTAGTCGACCACGGTTCAAGTCCCGGACCCAGTAAGGTTCTAGAAGCATCCATGTCATGGCTCTCCCACTGTCCCGGGTGGGGGGAGGGGAAGGATAGGCATCTCCATGTGCAGCTTGTACACACATCCACAGAGACCTCAGTCATCACCTCCTGTCCTATAACAGAGTAACTCCCTCATGCACAGGGGTCTCTTCTCAGGTAAGTCCCATTATGGAAGGAATGAGAAAGGCATGGATTTCGACTATCTTCAGAATGAAGTACCAATGGGATTGGGAGCCCTTTGAGGGCAGGGGAATCAGACGCATCGTTAGTCCTCAGACTGGGCCCAGGAACTGGCTCATGACAGGACCCGATATAATATTTTTGAACAAATAAATAGGTTTTGCTCTTCTGTAAGTGATTCTGTAAGTGACACACTCTCTCTCTCTCTCTGTCACCTAACTCTAACACCATTGATGTGATCACTATGTGAAGGAACCTTCTAGAGAGTCAAAGGGTCTTTTATCTCCCCCACGAGCTTTCCCCAGAGGGTTCCTGTGGAGGTCCCCGGTGAGCAGAGGGAGGGGCAGAGAAAGGCTCTGAAGCTAACGTTGCCTCCAAAGTCCTCGGCATCTCAGCTAGAGAATTCTCATCAGTGCAGATGCGTGGTCTCACCCAGCCTCTGGGGCTTTCACGATTGGATGACTAAGTCACCACTGGCTTCCGGAGATTTCCATAGCTGTCATGCTCTGCTGGTCAACCCGCCCAGTGGGAAATCTTGTCTTACGGCATGAAAAAGAAGGCCGAAGGTTGCGGTGGAGATGCTCAACTTGGTTCTTCCAGGTAGGAGTGTGAGAAGGAAACCGGGAGGTCTTCGGTCTCCCAGGTAAGCCCAAGTCATGATGGTTCAACATGCATTCATTGGGCAAGCATGGACTGAACCCCTCCCTCACACAAGGCTCTTTGCAGGCACTGCTGAGGGAAGATGAGTAACGAACAACTTTTCAAGGACCCAATGGTCTTGTGGAAAGTACAGTGCCAACCCTGGATGAGGCAAGATGTGACCAGTCCCACGAGATGGGTCTGAGGCAAACAGTCAGAGGGCAGGGTCTAGCTGGAGGCAATGACTCAGCGCCTGTGCTGGCAGGCTGGGGGGGCTAGCCCTGTTTAGAGGGCATGACCCAAGTTGGTGACTGGTGGAAAGAGAACTATGGAAGATGGAGACACATACAGATCAGTTCTGCAAGGCTCATGTGACAAGATCGCTGAGGTACTCTTTGGGACCCTGAGGTCTCATAGGGAACCTCAGAAAGCCAATCCGATGCAGCAGCCCCTCAGTTTAAAGGAGCAGTGAGTTTACCGCACACACGGGCTGCTTCCAAAGCTTCACTGTAAGGAATGCTCTCTTGGCCATAACGGATTGAAATTGCAGATTTTATCTTTGGAAAGAAGTACTGCCTTGAGGCCAGCAGGTGGCATAGGGGCTAAGGTGCTGGACTCCCACATGCCCAACTGGGGTTTGAGTCCTGAACTTGGTGGCTTGCAACTCATGCTGGGCACGTGTGTGTACATGCCCAAAATCCCAAAGGGAGAATGGAGATGAAGGGATAGTCGCATGGCCATCCCCCTAGGGGATGATTATTCATTTTCTCTCTGTGTGTCTGGTGAGCACATGAGCCCTATAGCAAAACAAAACAAAACAAAAAATACCACACACACAAACAAACAAACAAAACACAACAAACAAACAAATAAAAAAAACCCTCTTGGGGATCAGCAGTTAGCATAATGGCTATGTTGCTGGACTCCCATGTAGTCGACCACGGTTCAAGTCCCGGACCCAGTGGCTTAAAACTCACGCTGGGCACGTGTGCGTGTGTGCCCAAGATCCCAAGAGGAGAAGGGATTGCGGTGTGGCCATCCCCCCTAGGGGATGATTTCTCGCTTTCTGTCTGTCTCTCTCTGTCTGGAGAGCACACGTGCCCTATAGCAAAAACCTCTCCAAAATAAATAAATAAATAAATAAATCCTCTTTATAAGAATAAAGTGCTGACTCAATGATACAGACAACTGAGCTTTGAAATGATTTAACAGCCATCAGTGATGAAGAAATCCAGAAGTGACATGTATTACCTGCACCATGACAGGCAAGAGCTCAGTAGTGTCTACGTATTATCGAATGGGTGCTGTCATCATGTTGTCCCGCTGTCCTACAGACGAGCTCACTGCCTAGGCACAGCTGTCTGAGTCTCCCAGCTGGCAGGGCCACGCCCCAGCCCCTTTGCTCCAGCTTGGTCCTTTGTCCTCTGTTGTTGTGTATTCTCTAAATACAGAACACTTTCCCTCTCCCTGTCTGTCTTATGAGTGGGCTCTATGTTAAATTGATAAATTAACTAATTCAATTAAAGTAAAGGAAATCTAAAAAAAGGAAAAAATATTTGGGGGATAGGATGTCAATTTACCTAAGTAGTGTTGTGGGCTGTCCTGTCACCTGGGTCTGCAGTGGGGACAGAAGACCGTGACCCCCCATCAGAGGTAAGGTGAGGCAGCCGTGGAGAGATGATCCAGACATGAAGACGGCCCTGATCTTTAAACCTCATTCTGGTCATTGGGACCAAGAAAATAGTTTTGCATTTTTACAACAGCTTCTCTGGTTTTCATTCAGCGGCTCCAGCCAGCTTGGCTGAGTTGGAGTCAGCGAGCTCTAACCCGCATTCCCACCCTCCTACTGGAGGCTCAGACCTGGATGGGGTTCTGCCGTGCCAGGGAGACAGACCTAAGAACACACCACCACGTCCAGACGTGGCCTTCACCAAGCCCTCTGACACTTCAGTGGGCACGTGGCCTGCTGGCCTGGGCGGAGCGGACTAAAACTCTTGAAGGTTTTCCACTTCAATGAGATTCCACGGGGAAAGCAGAAATGGGGAGCTTTTGGCAATCGGCCATCTCCACGGGTTTCTGTCTGAAGGCTTTTCCACTTAGAAATATTTTCTAAGGAGAGTCTTTGTCTTTTTCTGGAGGTGGGAGGGATTTGTGGTCCTGAGTCCTCCCTTGGAAAAATCTACCTCTGCAAGAATTCTTTCAAAAAGAGAGAGAGAGAGAAAGAAAAAAATATAGAGCCTCCCCTTTCTTGAGCTGTGCGTCACTTACCAAAGAATTCCTTTGCGATAGCAACGCCATGAATAGGGCAGTCATACGGACTTCAGAAGAGCCCAGAGCCCAACCACAGGGATTGTTCCTATTGCGGCTAAGCTAGAATTGCGCCTTTTATAACCCGAATTTCGAGAGGCACACGTACCATCTGTATTCTCTCGCCCTGCCTGCTGAATTGGCCACTTATTATTTTGCTTTTACCCTTGTGAGATGCTGCTTTAAAACATCGCCGGTTTCTGTGTATGTGCGGGAGAGAAAAACCACACCAAACAGGAACGAAGGCATGACCGTGCTACTGCAGCGAAGCTATTCTTGCAAAGTCCTGAACTCGGGGGACCCTCCTTCGAAAGCAAAAATACTGATAGCCTACTGTTGTCTGTGTTGAATAGGGTCACCCTTTTTCAGATCAAGGCAATGGAACTCAAGCTTTCATCATTTATGGCTTAGGTACCAAGAGACAAAAAGCAGACTGGTATAAGGACATTCTGGGGACCAGCAGTTAACGTAATGGCTATGTCGCTGGACTCCCATGTAGTTGACCACGGTTC